GATATTTTTTTCCACGGAAAAAATGTCTGTAAGAGGTGGCTTAGGAGCTGCTTTGCACAGATAATTCAAAACAATCTGAAAATGTAGCTTTGAGAGCAAATACCTTTGCCCACCGTGTTGCAGACATTGGTAAAAACATCGGGACTCAAATAGCGAAAAATGCAAGCACGTTTTACTATTTTTTAAAATTGCAATGGACAGCTGTTCCACCTCTCAACTGCTAGTGTTCATTAGGGGTGTGGATGAAGACATGAACATCACACAAGAGCTGGCTTCCCTACATAATATGTATGCCACTTTTACCGGAGAGGATATATTCAATGAGTTAAAGAAACCAATGCTCCTGCACTCTATTACTCATATGCAAGCTTTGAGTGGTAAATATATGGACATTAGCAGTGTACTGAATCCTGTGGTAAAGATGGCGAATTTAATATGTCACATGGGCTCAACTATAGATATATTGAATACGTGAAGAATATCTTGATAGCAAACTTGGACCTCGAGTGTGTTGTCGACCCCCGACAGTTTTTCTTTCAATTTTTTTCTCTTCGGAGACCCCTGGGTTAGACCTTTGTAATACTTGCTCGTTTCGAAATTGTCACGCTCTTAAACTTTAATTAATTACTCAGTAGTTTAATTAAATGTGTGGATTAATTGTAGAATGTTGTATTTAATGTTACATCTTATATTACTTGTTACACGGAAGATTTATTAACTGTAATTTGCAAATAACGAAGTGGACGGCCGTTTTAGGTAGGTTATAATGTAACGTAATGGACGGCCATTACAGCCAGGTTCACTAGTGACGTAGTTGACGGCCGTCGTTAAGAGTTTTAACAGTGACTTAGTAGATGGGCGATATTTCTTGTTTAAACAGTGCCGTAATGGACGGTCTTTACAACTAGGTTCACTGTAGATTTAGTGGACTGCCGTTGTAGCTATTCTAACAACTGATGAAATGGACGGCCGTTATAGCTATTCTAACAAGTGACAAAATTGACGGCCGTTACAACTATTTTAATCAGTGCATTAATAAATTACTTCTATTCCTAGGTCAATAAGTAAACTAAATAATTAGGGTTGCTTCTAAATCATCGAAAATAATATTTGTTTTGTCAGTTGCGAAATATCATTAATACCTCCATTTGTTCTAATAAAACATTATTAAACATATTCCTGTGCTGTGTTATTAGTAAATTTCAATATATTTCATAACCTAACTCTTGTTGGCTTATAGTTACATTGCTAATGAACAAGTGAGCATTAACTATAAACCAGTTTATTGTTGGAAAGAACGTTATAAAAAGGTGTTCCCCTTGAATCCAGTTTGCGATATAAAGGAAATAACCTGCATACTTGTGTAATTAAAACAATAGGATTTATAGTTTTATAGGGACTGAGCTTTACTTATAACAAAATGTGTTTCCTGTCTAATCCCTGTTTGATTAAATACAGACGTAAATATTTTTCTGGCGAATAAAATATTTGTACCTGATTCGACTGATTCACGAGCAAATACAAACACACACACACACACACACATACTGCAATCTTGCCCTCAGACACAAATACAAATTATGGATTAAAGAATAGTGTGTGTGAGGGGGGGGGGGGGGCTAATAAAACAGCAGTCTGGAGATCCCGATTATTTTTGGGCCCCACAATTTCTTTTACAGAATATATAAATTAAATTACAAGGTAAATGGTCATTGAAAGGTAAAAGCAATTTAAAAAAAAAATTACAAACAAAAATCACATAAAATCACAGAACATTTAAAAACAAACAAGATGTAATTATTTTCATTTTGCATAAGGTTTATTTAAACCGTATTTGTCTAGAATAATATATTTTTTTAATTATGACGCAGCAATCTCACTAATTAATCTAGCTGTGATGGCTGTTTACAACCTTACTAATTTGTCTAACTGTAACGGCCATCCACTACTTCATATTTAGCTATAGATCACGAGTGAGTTTTTTTACAATGCATTTGATTTCCACATTGGCTTAGAATATTAAAACGTGTTTTATCGCTGCTGTTCTGCATTTGTTGTTGGATACGTGCAAGGAGGCAGCACACATCTGTGAAATCCAAGACTTTGAGCTGTTGTGTCCGTTTATTCCTAGTTTGTTTCTTCTAGCTTGTTTCATTATACAATCAACCAGTCAACGAAATATCCGTGTCATATTCCAATGTGTTCAAGAAATGTTTCTGATAATTTGCTATTGTAGAACAACTGTATGACCTTATTCTAACAAACGTATAATCCAACTATGTACCAGATCATAACAGAGACTGTTCCAAAGATAGAAAATATAAAGACTGGCCTAAACGAATACACGCCTAGACGCCTACTACAAACTTCCCTCTAAGCAGATCTTTTTCTGACAATTCTAATCTTTTTACCGCATCATAAAGGGAATTTAATTACTGTCGAGTGAAGTGTTATCGCACACAAATAATACAACCAAATTATAAAATGTTTTCCGGAATTTCGGCGGCAGAATTGAAAGTTCGCCCGGGGCGCCGGGAGGGGTCGCTACGCTTCTGATGAGAAAATGCAAAATAAACAATAGGAAATCTTTTTTAAGAACAAGTGAATCAGAAATGTGTGATGCAACATTGAAGTATAGATTGGTATTTTGAGTAGCCCTTTATTTTCTTTCTAACCCGTACCCTAACTAATCCCTAACCCTAAACCTAAACTTAGCCCTATCCCTACCTCTAACCCAAATGCTATCCCTAAACATAACTCTGGCAAGAAAGCGGACTCTAAACTTTGTTAGAGTTTGTTACTTGGAATTCTATATAATGACTAGGAAATGTATTATACATGATAGAAATATTGATGTATGTCATACTTTAACAACCCATTTCAGGCATTGTATTCATTTCCGACGTATTCAAAAGAATTTAGGTTTTTTAACTTTGCCGGTAATATGCATAATTTAATTTCAATACAACAACAGTGACTTGATACATCGCTACATATTTTTAAAGTCAGCGTTTATATTAGATACATCACGCTCAGACCATGCTGTATTTTAATCCCTTCAAATCTTTGTGAAGCAAATTACCCGTATGGAATCTGTAATTACATGTGATTTCGAGCTACTTTTTTGTTACTGGTAATTGTTTAGTCTATGGAGCTAAACTTACAAACTGTTTTAAGTGCGAATAGGAGTCTGTCTAGGATGCATGTTGTCACCGATGTCCTTTCTTCTTACCATCGACTGGATAATGAAAACAGCAGTCACAGAACGTAAAAATCGGATTCAGTGAACTCTGTGGAAAATTTTTTTACAAATTGGGCTTTGCAGGCGCCCTCGCGCTCCTCTCCCAAAACAAACAGCAGATACAGGAGAAAACAGACATTGTGTAAGAAAAGACAGCGAAGTATGGACTTAACATTCACAACCAAAAGACAATAGTACTAAAAATGTATCGCTGCCTGCACTTCACGTGTCACACGTGATGAGGTCAGCTAACAAGATTGCTAGTCATTTAAATATTTAGGTACTATTGTGAATTACTAGCGAAAAAAGAGTACGATGTTAAACAAAGATAGGTAAAACAAGAGCAGCTTTCACTCAGCTAAGAATATCTGGACTTCCATTGAGCTTTATTTGTCCACCAAGGGGCGTGTGTTGAACTCGAACGTAAAACCATTGTAGGTGTAAGCAGCGGAATTTGTCATATTTAAAAGGATTTTTCGCCGGGAGACTTAGTCTCTACGAAAAATGTATTGACAGGTGCCAAAATAAGAGGACATTAATTGTCGGGAGACGAAATGGCGGAAGCCGTTTTGTCGTGAGTCGTAAAGACGGGGACTGTTTTATTGGGAGCCAAACTGACGGGAGCCTATTTTCCTCTAGCCTATTTTCCTCGCTAGCCCTTTTGACGGGGTCGATTAGGCGGGGCTTTTATGTCGGGGCCGTTTTGTCGGGGTCGTCTTGACCGGGCCGATTTGTCAATGGCCGTTTTGATCCCCCCACGCCATTTACAAATTAGTTTTACCAATTGTTTGTGGAAATGGTAGGAATTTTTTAATAAAACGGTTGGCCTGGTCGATAGCACGTTCTACATGTAATTAAGGCATGCATTAATCCCACGCACTTGTATGTGGGTAATAAACAAATAAATAAGTTTACTAATTTTTAATACAATACTCATTATTCAGATCGCTTGATGTTAGGTGATGGCCTAATTAAATATGTTCTGCCTTAGACAGACTTCAATACTAACATAAGAACACATAACCCATGCGCAAACTTCCCAACCTGTTCGACATTCTAATCAACCCCATCCACCTTTTTCTTTAGTTGAAAATTGAAGTCGAGGTCTACACATGGACTAGACGCCCTTCCCAGACTTTTCTCCGACATGTGAAATATGGCACGCTTTGGGTGGAAGTCGATCAATGTGTAATAAATTTAGTTGGGGGGGGGGTCGGTTGGATTTGGGCTTATGGTTTCAATGAGTGTATGTGTGGGTCATTCCATATTGTTTCCATGAAATTTTAATAACTTTATCCTCTGGAAACAAGGCTAGACAACAATAATTCTAGCAAAGCAAGTTTCCGGGGAGATGACTCGGATAAAAGTATATTTTTGTTCTAATCAAATTTTATTTTTGGGGGTGGGAAGGGGTGGTGGGACTGTGCCACGCCCCCCCCCCCCCTCCAATAAAACATTGTACGTGGCCAATGACACGTCACCATTGCACGTGTTCAGAGACAAGCCACGATTTGTTTAATCACTTTGTACGTAAAATGTGTCCATTGGTTGATGGGTACAGTGACCTAGATTCCTGGCTTGTGTTAACAGAAAATAACTCTTGGTTTGTTTGTTTGTTTGTTACGAAAACAGTTTCCTTAGCTCATTGGCTTATGGTCCAGATTGGCAAGTTATGTTCTCCTGTGCTCATAGAGGTGCGATGATTGGTTAATTAATTTGTTACGTAAAATGTGTTCATTGGTTAATGGTGCAGCTAGTCAAGCCCCGCAAGCTGTCTGGTATGATTTGAAAGGTACATAATGGGAAGATCTTCAACACTCATGAACTGATTACAGCGCGGTAAGTCTGATACATTAAACTATGTTGTTTTTTTATTGTTGCTGAACGATTGTTTGTGAATAGCTTCACTCTCAGTGTATGTGCAGGTGAAGACGTGTGGCGAGGGGGATGTTGATTGCTCGATTTAATAGATTTTTGAAATGTGTAACACGCATTGATCAATATACATAAAATTGATACACGTCAGTATTAATTATATATTTTTTTTTGTAAACAATCGGCTTCAAAATAGCTAAATAATTGTATTTAATGTGGGAGCGAATCGTAGACTTACTGTCGTTTATTGAAACAGGAGGATGAGGGCGCAGGAGGGGGGGGGTTGACCAGCTGTGATGATGTGTGCGTAATTTCTGGGCAAACTTTTGTATTTTATAATTTGCATATACAATTAAGACCGACTTATAAGATTGAATTAAATGCATCATAACACAATGTGCCCCAAAGTCTTATGTTAAAGCTTTTAAAGTTATAAGGCCTTTAGAACACCCACCTTCTCGAAACAAGTCAAATATAAATTACCGCAAATAGGTGCACCACAAAAGACAATGCCCAAGATGGCATATTTGTTAATTAAGTCTAATTTCCCCAAACAAGACCTATTAACTTGATTGCTTAAATTAAGGAAGCACCATATCGAGATAGATATGAAGCCTCTCCGACGTAGATGAGTAAAGTAGGGCCGATTTGAGCAAACAAAAATTAGAGACAAGAGCTAGATAAACTCTAGCGGGCCTAACTCTTCTTATCGGCGCTTATATGAGCGTTACTTAAAAAATCCCAAGATCTTATACAAAGCCCATAGTATCAGAGTTAGGTACCTAAGACCCCCCGTCGACTACAGCCATGCACAATCGGTGCCCGTTGAAAGCCCACTATCTCAAACCATGGCCTATTATTAAATTTACAAATAAGTATTAGATCCTATAACAGGTGTCGTTTAACATTTTAACGACTTTCAGAAACAGGAAAATCCCCTCCAACATAATTAAGAGTATCTGTCCTCACCTTATGAGCCACATCTGCCCGAGAGTTCGAACTCGAGACTGTTAGCAACCATGAGCTTTACCGACCACACCGACCCCTAACAGATATCTAATATTCATTTTTTCTCTTCTAAGAGGGTTGGCGCCCCTACATTTGTCTGTACATATAGAAAATTTTCAAAACGAAACGAAATATGTACAGTTGTAAAGCCGGAAAAGTACACACAATAAAATGACGTCATTCTAGAGTACACAGAATTGAAAGTTTAATGCCGAAAAACTAAACAAAAAACATTACCGCCTAATTTATTTGCCTATTCTTAAAAGTGGAATGCATGAAGAGTTTCTTTCCGCCATTTCTTCGTCGAGGGGTGACGCCCCCCCCCCCCTACACACACTCCATGATAACGTCTACCACCCCTCCCCCTGGAAACAAAATATAAAATTATATTCAAAATATATACTTTATCACCTATGTTCACTACCCATCCCCCAATGAGAATTTAATCAACTGTAAAAGTTCAAAATGCGTCCCGCCTCTCCCGGGAAAAAATAAATCTGAAAGAAACACCGCATAATTGAGGTTTAGCAGCCATAAGTAGGAAATGGTTCTAGGTAAAGAATGGCTGGTCTGTACGATCAAACATGCGACCAGTGTTTCTTTCAGTGATTCATGCATGCAACTTTTGTTAGGTTTAAGATTAGATGCAAGGCTTAGGGGTATGACTACGACTAAATTTAGTATCAACTAGACTTACACGGTCATCCCTTGGATAACTGTGGGTTTCGTGGGTCATCACGTCTGTCACTTATCACAAAATTACCAGACCCCACATTCAAAAAGACGTTTTTTATCTTTTTTCTTCTTCTTCTTCTTCGTTCTTAATTATTAGTGTTGAAGGGGATCGAGATTTATCTGCCAGTGGGTTTGAACTCGAGACTGTTCGAATGTATCAACCATGAGCTTTTTGCCGACTCGACCACGCCTCCAACACAATTAAGCGTTACGTGTCAACTGGTTTTTGCGCCATTGAGGCCATTGACTCCGATTTCAGCCTGCTTTTCTTTTTGGATTTGCTTCCATAGCCTTTGTCCAACCAAGAACAAACTACAAGGCAGCAGTTGTTTAATTTTGGAGTTGTCTCTCCTAGAAGAGTGGCTGTCCCCAGCTAACGAGCCTCATCTGCCCGAGGGTTCGAACTCGAGACTTTTCGGTTTAGCAACCATGAGCTTTACCGACTCGACCACTTTTAAAAACACCGATTTCAGCTGAGCATAGGTCTGACCACACTATCCCTTCATATACTGACGTCACAGGTGACCTACTCAACTCTACTTCACCTGCCCAGTGTCCCGCCAAGTCTCAGACAGCATGTTTTTATCGTTTAAAAAAACGATTCCGGCCTAGCATGTCTCTGACCACACTATCCCTTCATATGCTTAGGACAAAGAAACAGATGAACTCTACTTCACCTGCCCTGTTTCCTGCCAAGTTCAGATAGGCAACTTTATCATTCACATCTAAAAAAAACAAATTGATTTTTTTTAACATTGACGTGATGTGTCTAGAACCCGTGCTACCTGCAGGAAAGCCTATTACAATTACAACTTAAATATCTAGATTCGTGACGTCACTGCTGTTTTTTGTTGAGTCTCCTTACGCAACTTGATTTAAGCGCATAGGCCCTATCTCTAGATCTAGATCTAAGTCTAGTAACTTTCAATTTAAATTTTATCTTAAATTAACCAATTCCACAGCTAAACAGACCTTTATTATATAAAATAATAAAGGTCTGAAATAGTTTAGTATATAGAAACTCACTATTATCTAAATCTATATAGAATTATCTATATTATACGACTGGTTTGCTTAAGTCTAGTTTTTGCGTAGCTCTTGCTAGATCTAGATTAGACCTATTCTAGATCTAAATAGATACATCACAAAGATTTATATCAAGTATTTAAGGACTAAAGTAGTTTAATAAAGAAACTCAAAAATGTATTATGATTTTAAAATGGATACTTTTTTTAACTAAACTAATTAGTCTCTGTTTTGATCTAGATTCTAGATCTAGATCTATATATAACTTTCTTGGCCACCTGATATTTAGATCTATAAATAACTTTCTTGGCCACCTGATATTTAGATCTATAAATAACTTTCTTGGACAGATTGTAGAGCTAGATACATTTATTGTAAAATTAAATGAAAAAGACATTTGAAAATTGATATAAGTGTTTGTACATAATAAAAACAGCAAATGGACGTATTGTTAAAGTTATAGCCGACAGAAAATTAGCTTTAGAACGCGTTAAACATTGGAATGGGAACACAATCTTCTTTGATAGAAGCCGCCATTTATTGTACTAAAAAGAAAAAAAAATATGTGACGTCACTATTCCCTCAAAGTAAAATCGTTTTTCTAAACTTTTAATTTCTAAACTTTTAAAATTAATGTGGTTAATCTACCAATGAATAAATCAATAAATTAATTAACGTCTTTAAATAAATTTGTGATTAACAGTCTGTCTGAAAACATTACATACATACTATTTTACAGCCCTACACATAGAGCAGATTCTCTCCATTACCCAATCAGACAAACAAAAAAAAAACGAAAAAAAAAACAAATAAATATTCAAACATGTAAACAAACTTGAATTTTAGTAGTATATAGATGTCCACAAATTGCGTGTAGATCAATTTTACTAGATAAAGTTATGCGGAAATGTCTAGGTACTAGGTATTATTTTTGAGAAAAAGAAAACACTATCAATCTAGCGCCCGTTGAATATTTAATATGAATGTGCAGTAGCTACGTGCGAAATTAAGGTTAAAATCGGTTAAAATGTCAGTTCTGGATAAAATTAGATTTCAATGATATTTTTCGTTTCTGGTTAAATTTGAAGTTGAGGTGGAGATGTTAGTTTTAGTTTAGAGAAAAATACATCACCGTCAACCTAGCGCCTGTTGTATTTCTCCCACAACGCGCCACTTACCTCGCAATTAATATGTTTATATCCCCTGAGTCACCGGAAGGTACCGGATTAATGTTTTTTAACTTCCGGTGCAGCGATTTTTAATCTCTTCCTGTATGTGTAGTTCACAATCGTTTTTATAGATCTTAAACATGTTCTTACTTTTTCTTTGTTCTTACCTTACTACTAAATTTTTCAAACCTAAACATTTTAATTGGCATCTTCAACAGTCAGGTAAGTGTGCTTAGCTTAGGTTTCAACAATTGTCATCCAACTGTTTTTTATTAGATTAATGTTTACACGCATACTTTTGAATACTGTCAGGAGACACGGTAATTGTTTTAGGATTTCTTAGAAATGGCAGGTTTTTTAAAATGTGGATTGACATAAATTATATTTTGATAATAAGTAATTGAAATTTACTCCAAACATGGTATGTATATATTAAAAAGAAGGTTAGCATGTGGTTAACACATATTGTAATAAAATTTTGATTTGCATTGGTTAAAGCAAACCTAAAAAAAAATATAGCAGTTGCACGCTAGGTTTACTAAGTTTAGTAAAGTTTATTTGTATGCCTTAGTCTAGTTCTAGTAGTAAGATGTATAAATGTAGACTGGTAATATTCCCTACTTTTCAATAATTATAATATAGACCGTATGGTAAGTTTAAGCTTAGCTTTAATTAGTTAATCTTAAGTTTGTTTGGCTAAACTTAGCATAGTCATTTCAGTGTCGGTTTAGATCTGATAATATGAATTTAAATTAGGTCTCATAAAATTGGGATAGGTTTAGGGTTGGGTTAGATTAGCTATAAAAATATGCATTTCAATTCAAGATTAACTTGTCATTAAAACAATTCGTTTCAGAACCAAGTTTTATGCAATATGACATCAAATTTGACTTAATTGGTTATATATATATATATATATATATATATATATATATATATATATATATATATATATATATATATATATATATATATATATATTTATATATATATATATATATATATATATATTTATATATATATATATATTTATATATATATATATATATATATATATATATTTATATAATTATATATATATATATATATATATATATATATATATATATATATATATTTATATATATATATATATATATATATATATTTATATAATTATATATATATATATATATATATATATATATATATATATATATATATTTATATATATATATATATATATATATATATATATATATTTATTTATTTATTTATTATTTAATATGCATTTCAATTTTGTGTAAGTGGGCCTGATGCGTATATAAGAACGTAGAGATTATCTACCTGTTGTGTTAATATAAAATTTATATCAAATCCGTTTTTATGATTTATTTGAAAACATCATTAAAAGTATAGGTTTACAAAAATACAATATGATAAACTAAGTGCTACTTACCTTATATACATCTATATACCCATCATCCAATTCTAAACGTTCTCAATAGTCTTGTCGATCATTAGATGATTGCGCATTACAAATCCAAGCACAATGCCTGGTTGGTAAGGTGAGAAAAGACAGATGTTGCCCACATATCAGTCGACCTCAGCCTTTGAACTTTTAATTCTTTTTACTCTAGAATCAATGGCGTCTTTTTATTGTGTGTACTTTTCAGGCTATACAACTGTACATATTTCGTTTCGTTATTTTTTGTTGTTGAAAAAATCATATCTATATCCCGAGTTACCACCCCTCTTAGTGTTATATAAGAATATTCCAGAAAGCTTAGGAGTAATCACTCCCGGTTTATTACTTAGTTAAACTTTTAAAAATAGAATAGAATCTTGTAGAAAAAAGAATTGCGCACCAAGTAAACGCCAAACAATATGTGTATAATAGTGCGGAATATTATTTTTACTTTATAAATTCACATGCGTTTTTTTTTTAGAAATTTGAAATAGCGTGATTTACTACTTCCGTCAACAGAAATTGGAATAAAGGCAGAAAAATAAATCTTTTACTTACATGTGAAATTTCATTAATCTTTTTGAAACAGTGCTCAAATTACAGGTTTTTGAAAAAAAAATAACAGTAAACACGTTCCATTTCCGGCGACCTAGCTGTAACGGTACTCAAGTTATCGTGTACACACACACAAAGACACACACAAATACGGACAAGATTGCAAAACTTTTTGTCCACTCAGGGAGGTGTAAAACTTCGAGATTTGAAAACAATCTCTATTCTTTTTTTGCACGATTACAATAATTCCTTTATACTATGTATACGAGAAAGTAGAAAGAGGAAAAAATATTTTCAAATCTGTTTATGTTTTAAGCATTTCCGCACAAACCTGATGAAAATGAAGATGATAGTTGTTCTGGTAATCCTGGCGAGTCTTGCAGTGCACTCGGACAGGTAGGTACTCATTTTTTAGCAACTAGTGTAATAGCCTGGTTAATAGTTATTCAATTCATTCCATGCTTTAGTTTTAAGTATGCGGGGACTGCGTGGTCGGATAATATAGAGTACGGAAGCTTATGTGAAAATCTTTGAGTTCGGATCACGGGCTCGAGTACTTAGGACGTCCCTGAATCAACAAAGCTCTAATGGATACCTGGCTCATGTTAGAGAAGGTTAAGGCGATTGGGCATAGTGTTGATTACACTTCGCCTTTAATTATCGGGGTCCCTGAAACATGTGTACTTCATCTGTCCACTAGACTGGCTGTTTCGAAAGTGTAGGCTGCTTTCCTTAATCTTACAGCAGAAAGTTGCTTAATATAGTAAACTGAAAGTATTGCAAACATAAAACTAAAAATTGGATTTTAATAGTAGTATCAAATTGAAAATGTACACAAAAATTGATACGTTACAACAACATAAATCATACAAGGTTAATACAAATTATTTTCTTTTATTTTTATACAATTGAATACACTTTCTCGGTGTTTATTACCTTATTGTAAGCCAAATGCATCATACACCCGAATATTGACTTACCAAGGTGCAGCCTGAACGGTCTTATATAAATAATACACGCCACTTAACATGCATTCTTCCCAACTAGTGCTTTTTTTCCCTCCAGAAATTGTTGTACCCGGTGGATGGGATTGCACCTGAAAATTAAATCTCATTTTGTGTGTGTGTGTGTTGTGGGGGGGGGGGACGGCTGTGGTATACACTATTGAAATTATTTATTTTCTATATGAATTATATTACAATTTAAAGTAGAGGGAGTGGACGACCTTTCAAAAAGATGTGACGGGGGGGGGGGGGGGAGGGGAGGGTGGGGGGGGGCATAAGCTTTTACGAAGACGTGCATGAAAGAGACTATTTTTTTTTCAATCCGACAGTTGCCCATGCGTTAAAAGGAACCGTCGTTGTAATTTGGGCATCTGGGAACCACAGTGCTGTGATTCCATGACTTGTGTGCGACCAAATGAGTAAGAGAGTAATATATATATATATATGTATATATATGTATATATATATATATATATATATATATATATATATATATATATATATATATATATATATATATATATATATATATATATATATATAAACAAATATTGGAATATGGCAGCACGATTTAATTAATTATAATACGCGATCACTTTTACACTTAGGCTCCTGTACAATTACATTTGGCCCTACGTCAATCCGGCTTGGACGCCACGGCATTTTTACCAAGATGCTAATACAATCCCACTAGGCGACACGACAATCCTACTAAGACGCCACGACATTCTTACTTAGTATTAAATAATTAATCCGAAAACGTAGTCTAGTTTTAAAATATATATATATATATATTTACCTATCCACCACTTCACCCAACGTCACATAAAAATTATGTCAATGAAAATTATTTTACTCTTTCAAATTAACGTTTTTTTTTCTTATTTTAAAACTATTTACTGAGCTCGGTCAAAGTTGAGTATAATAATATCAAATTTCTTTCTTCTACTTCAATTTTTAATTCTAGAGTCGAAAAAAATTAATTAAGTATCACGTGTAAAATTGCCTTGCGCTATATAGGCCAATGACTCCGATTTTATCCCGCTCATCCTTTTGTCCATCCAAGAACAAACTACAAGATAGTAGTTTATTGATATTGGAATTATCTTTCCTTGATGTTTTTGTCCCCAGCTATGAACCCTTTTCAGCCGGGTGTTAGAACAATAGGACTTCAGCAAACATGAGCATAACCGAAACATGGATCTCTTTTCTACTATAATTTCTAATCAATTTCCATAGCTTGAAATGGATGATTAAATTATGTTTGTAGCGCATATTTGTAAAATGCAAAAAATAATGTGGTTACTATTTCTGACCAGCATCAAGCATCTTCACAAAAATCAGATTATCCCTCTTCGTCCCCAGGTGTGCCGTCATTTAGGAGCACTCCTTGTTCCTTGTTTAGCTTTTTTTTTTTAAATTATTATTACATATTAACGTACCCGTCTAAAAATTCTAAGAAGGTCACAAATAATATATTCTAAGAGGTGTGGCCTTGTTTTCTAAAACTGAATTGCCCGTGCTTGTATCCAGTGGCGTAGCGAGGTCGAGTGTCACCCGGTGTGGCACTTAATGGTGTCACCCCCTAGAGGCGTAGTGACCCTTCTCAGGGACAAACTTTCAAATTTTCGAGATTTGCACCCCCCCTTAATCTTTCGATTTGCACTACCCCCTACCCCCTCAAACTTTCGATTTGCACCCCCCTCAAGTTTTGCTCTATATATTTTGCTATTTTTTGCCTTGGTGTCACCTCCCTAAATGGTGTCACCCGGTGAGGTCCGCACCCCCGCCCCTCCCCCCTCGCTACGCCTCTGCTTGTATCATTTTTATCGGGGCACGGGTTCACCTACAATGTAAGCATCAAGTGTATATTAATCACTCACGGTAATTGTGAGGTGGAACACATTTCGGTGACCGCCCAGATGTCAAGGAGTAGAGGGGCGCTCTTGGGAGTCCCCGAATACACTACCGAAATGGCGCCCAGTAGGGCCCCTGGCTAATTAAAAACTGTGTCGCTCATAGGTTAATCTAGTATGCCTTATAGTACCCAGTTTAATTTATTGAACGACTTTAATATCCCATTTTATCCATAGCCTAACGCACACAAAAAATAAAATCAAACGTAAGCGATAGCGCTCAAGGGATAAACTGGGGAGTCAAATTTTACCCTGACGGCGTGACGGCGAATGCGTCTGATTCGATTTAGTGAACGACAATAACGCCCCATCTTATCTATAGTCTTTCGCACTGTTTAATATGAATGTAGGATTCAACATAGCGCTCGCGGCAAAGACAAGAGCGCCCAATCACAACTTGCCGGGGGCCGCCTGTGTAAAATTGAATTTTTAAAAGTAGAAACCACCTCCAGGGTATTTTCATTAGCTTCCAGAAATTCATTGCTATTGGGTTAGTATGGTTTGTAAGCTATTTGGAGCTCCAAGATTTCCCGTGAGCACTATGGCGTCTACGTTTGTTTTAAAAAGTGCGATAGGTTATGGATAAGAAGGGTTAATAAAGCCCAGCACTAAATCGAATCAAGTGCTTCTTACGGCTCGACAAAGTTCTATTTTGCGCCAAGGGCCTCCCCATGAGCGCTATGGCAATTACGTTATTTTTAGTGATCGCAATAGACTATAAAAAAGTAAGGGTATTTTAGTAGTTTACTAAATTGAATCAAGTGGTTCCACCGGTGTCCCGATAGGGTGCGATTTGGCGACCAGGGCTAGACTGCGAGCCTTATGCGTTTATGTTTGCATTTAAACTTGTGTTTATTTTATGCGTTATTGTTTGCGTTTAGGTTTGCGTTTGCATTTGTGTTTGCGTGTTGCGTTTGGGGTTTTCTTTTGTGTTTGCGTTTATGTTTGTGTTTGCGTTTGCTTTGTGTTTGTGTATTCGTTTGTGTTTGTGTTAGCGTGTTTGTGTTTGCGTTTGCGTTTGCTTTGTGTTTGTTTTAGCTTTTGTGTTTGTATTGCGTTGTGTTTGAGTTTAGTTTTGTTCTGTTCCGAAATTGGTACATTTAAAAAGGCCTAGCTCAAGTATGCAGTCTGTGTATATAACATATATATTTCTCTCTCTCTCTCTCTCTATATATATATATATATATATATATATATATATATATATATATATATATATATATATAGAGAGAGAGAGAGAGAGAGAGAGAGAGAGAGAGTTTTACATGGAATTTTAAAAGATTTAACAGTTTAACCAGTTGATTTAGAGTTAAATTGCAGATAGGCGGACTAAAATTTACAGTTATAATATGTTATAATTTACATTCAGCAATGTGATTAATTAACATAAATCAGAACCAAAAGGGGTTGGGGATTGTGTGGTAGGGAGGTTAAAGCTCATGGTTACTAAACCGTAAAGTCCCCAGTAAAGACAGCTGGGGCTCGCTAAGTAGGGATAATAAAATATCTAAGAGAGGAAAGTTGATTTAGTTCTAAATTGTAGTTTGTTCTTAGATGGGTAAAGGCTATATAAGATCATCCAGACAGAAAAGTTGGATGATATCTGAGTAATCAGGCCAGTTGGCACATGACCGCTTGATACGTAATCATCAATTCTGAGAGTTGTAATCTTTTCCACCTTTACAATTGAGAACTAAAAAGAAGCCAAAGATACACCTTAGTTATCTTTTTCTTTATTTAGATGGGCATTGTCTGGGAGATGCGATAATGGTAAGTTATTTAATTATAAAGAGCTTTTTAAATATATCATATTTATTATCATACGTTTATGATACTCATATTTTAATGTGTATTTGTAAATTTGTCTTTAAACTTTGAAAATATTCAAATTTTACTAAGAAGATTTATGTAAAAATTATATTTTTACAAGAGCACTGTGAAATAACCTTTCCGAACATGACGGTCCGTGTTTCAGTGATATTGACATATGCAAGGATAACGTGATGAGCTATCCCCATCCACTTACGTTTCTTATTTTAAGTCAAGAACGACTCAGAGTTGGGTGTACACAATAGCGATTTACTAACACGAACTCTGGATTCGATTTCGAGACTTTCGGGTTAGCAGTCGTATGCTCAACCTTCCGACAACAATTCTCCCACAGACAAATAAATCTCTAAGACACTATATTTAAACCGACATGGACGTTTTCGACAGCACCGTGTTTAGACATACCTTTGCATTTTCATAATTTTGTTGGGATAAAATATAATTAAAATTAATTCTAAATTGAATGGTATTTCACCATACAAATATTTTTAAATTCATAAAGAAACATATTTCTCTAGTGTTTTTTTGTATTTGTTGCAAAAACTCGTCTACTGAGACTATACGATTTCGTAAAAGAATGATCAACTAGTTATTATTTGAGCAAGATAAATGCTATTTTGTTTTACCGTGAGACCTCAACAAAAGCTAGTTTTTTTTTCAAAATGGGGGCCTTTTTCCGTGGCAATAATATTTTTAAAGGATTCCCTGTTGCATGAAAATATTTTTTCCCTCATGTTTTCCCTCATGTAGCCTACCTTAACTTAAATACACACACATAAATAAAGGATTTTTATTAATTAAAAAAGGTTTTGTTTTTACGAGTTATTTTCCTGAGCCTACCCTTTTTTAGGACTACCTCCCCGTTAACAACAATTGCAATATTTAAACCTGCCTACAATGCAACGATATTTAATTAAACCTACATCTCTGATTACGTCGCTTCAATTTTTATACCTATCTGCGTGATTTAGATTCGGCTACAATTAAACATACCTCTGTGGATACAAAGTGCCATTTTTATTACTAGCTCCCTAAAGACAGCGCCGTTTATTTAAACTTATCTTCCTATTTAGAAAACAGTCATATTTATATCTACTTCCTTGATCGCAACGGCACATACTTAAACCTACTAGTCTGATGCTAAAGCCACCTGCTTTAACTTCAATTCATGAACGCCCAGTTATCAATATCTCCCTCCGGTAACAGCTTACACCCAATCGCTGTAAGGAGAACTGAACATGACATATTTCAATCTTTATGTACAATTATCATATAACTGTGATTTTAATATTCAACCCCGTTTATAAATTGAAATAACATTACTTTCTTATTCTGGTGTAGCAGTTTATTACATTAGAAAAGTTATTTTAGAAAAAAAAACAGACTTTGAGTGCACGTCGATCAACATCCGCAAAGGTTAGGATGACCACATTCCTCATAGACAGCTCAGGTGTAAGCGGTGGAGCGGGACTATCGTAGGATCAACAGAATAAGCAACAGCATGGGGACAGAGGGGTCTAGCGGTAGAGAGCTTGACTGCTAACCCGTAAGTCTCGAGTTCGAGACCACACTATCTCTCCATAATCAGAGGTCACAGAAGCATGTGAACTCTACTTCACGTGACCGACAGGTTTGAAAAGGGATTTTTACTTTTTTTTTGTTACAATGGGCATAGCTTGGCTATGTGTTTAAGTTTGATCATAGATGTATTATTTCATTGTATCCTTAGTGTTGGGCGCTGTTTATATATATAATGGAATATGTGACCGAGGAAATATTAAATATGGAGATGCTATATTTCATACTTTTTAAAAACATTGTATTTTTTTAATGTTTTGATGTCAATCATAATTAATTATTTTGATTTCATTGCAAGCTGAATGACACTGTGGAGCCTATGGAAAAAAGGGAACAAAACAGTACCTTAGCAAGCAAATTGAACAGAATATTATTATATATTTACTCAAAATGTTAAAAAAATAATAATTAATTTCCCTTTAAAAAATTCGCTTTTTTTTGTATTTAGATTACTTAAAAGTTTATTAATATGCATTACAGAATAATGTCGACCACTGACGTCGTTTTAAATTGTATTACCATACCTACGTTTTAGTTCCAAATATTAAAAATATCTAATTTATACAGAAAATATTAAACATACTTTAACCAGTGTTTACCCCCACCCCTCAGTCTTCAAAAGTCTGGAAAAAACAGCCTTCTAGATGCATTGCGCACATTTTACAAAATCCCAAATTTGTTTATAAAATAGTCCCTTTTTTCTATTATCCGTGGCTTAAAATAAAAACATTGCCCTATCAAGTGAAAGTGTAGTGTGTTTTGTGTTTGTTAAGGGTAAAACATGTTATACTCAATAGCATGGTAAGCACACTGGCTGTATTTTATAAGGCTTACTTATCACTCAATATGCTTAGGACACAGAAAGAAGTGGAATCTATTTCACTTGCCCCGTAAACCAAAAGGTTTGAAAGGGAAATTTTACTTTACTTGTTACTTTAACTAAAAGCTGAAACACATGCAGCTAATCTACAGAGATGAATGTTTAATACACGTGGTCATGTGTCATTATGATGTATGTTTTATCGCAGACTTAAACAACAGTTAGCGTTATTGTTCAATGAGATAGAAGTCGGCGTAGTCGAGTCTGTAAAGCTCATGTTAGCTAAATCGAAAAGTCTAGCAGATGAGGCTCGTTAGCTGGGGACCGCAACACTTCTCGGAGAAACAACTCTAAAATCAAACAACTGCTGCCTTGTAGTTTGTTCTTGGTTGGACAAAGGCTATGGAAGCAAATCCAAAAAGAAAAGCAGGCTGGAATAGGAGTCAATGGCCTCAATGGCGCATTACCAGTTGACATGTATCCTTAAATGTGATGGAGGCGTGGTCGAGTCGGCAAAAAGCTCATGGTTGATAAATTCGAAAAAAAGTCTCGAGTTCAAACCCTCTAGTAGATATGGCGCGATCCCTTCCAACACTAAAAATTAAGAACGAAGAAGAAGAAGAAGATTACAAACACACAAACACACACACACACACATACAGACGCACACATACATAATGTTAAGACCTTACAAATACTCATACTTTCTAAATTATTTCTTAGACATCGATAACATATTAATCAAACTATATTTGTCAGAACAAAAGGTCTGGAAACGAATAAAATAAAGTAACCTGTCATCTGTACTTGTTGCTCTATATTAGATAAATTGTTGCAACATAACACTTATTTACTAAATAACAATGTTACATAAGCCGTGATGTTTCATACAAAGATAGAGAATTTACGTACGTTCAACTTCAAGTTATTGTATTGTATGGATTTTTTAAAATGATGAATAATAATTAGCTATTAATTTTAAGCTTCCTTGATAGACAGCTTAAAACTAGATCTAACTAGATACAAATTTGAACAAAAGAATCTGGAGTACAAGGCGACACATTTGATAATAATATGTGGATCTGCAATGTATTTATGTGTTGCATAGATGTCGATGAAAGAGAAGTGAGTCGGTAGAATAAAAACACCTTACAAAAACCGTGAACAAATTTACAATAGTCGTAGGCTTCACTAAAAGATTTCTGACATCTGCCTTGTCAAGAGAGTTACCATTTGGACCAGCTGTCTTGTGAGGGTGGACAAGTTTTATTTTCTTCTTACGGGGATCGCCTCTTCTTATATGTCTGGTACAGTTTCGTGAAATCTAACACAAGTCCAATTCAACATATACTACAATGGTTTATTGACAACACCAATCAATTGTTCTACTCCTAACAGTAACTAGTCTATACTATAATATACTGCCTACTAACACTAACTAACTATACACTCTCACGAACATCCGTAACAAACTATCTATCTCTAACGTCCACCTAACTCTACATATCTCTGTTCGTTCTCTACCGCTACTTATCACCGTCTGCTGACCCACGCTCCAGTGGTCAGCTGACCGTTCCATTTGACTGGTCAGCTCCTGTATTTCCATTGGTCCTCCATTAAACTTGTTACACTCGTTAGACATAACAAAATAACTTAATTTTAGTTGGAGTTTTAGTTTCTGTTCTAAAATATTTATATCAGGCTATTTTACGGAACCTAAAAGACATTTCCAAGTGTGCCAGACGAGTTATATGTAGCATAAGTTCAAATCTCCGGAAACTACATTTATCGACCCACCTATACGACTTTGGTGATGCGGCGAAACCTGACCGATGTTTACAGACTCGTCGACAGCAACCAGTAAAACTGCATGGGTCGATTACTTAGCCCTAAGATACGAGTTTATTATTTTGTACATATCTGTTCCAGGACAAAATACACATATGAGACATATTTTTCAGGCAATTCTTCGGCATACAACACGTCCTCAAAGTAAAAATTAAAAATACAATTTTTATAGAAAATATATAATTCAACCAATATCCGCTCCCAAATAACAAAGATAAATGTCTGAAAGAAACACTGCCCATTTGCAAAGTACGCGTGATTAACCCTCACTGCGGAGAAATCACCACGTTTTAAAAGATGTCACACCTGAGACAACAGGTATTTATTTTTTGAATAACTGATTTCGTCTTAGCATGGGTCTGACCGCATTATCCCTTCATATGCTTCAATTGCATAAATAGGTGAATTCTACTTCAACTGCCCCCGTGTCCTGCCAGATCCAGATAGGCAACTTGTTTGATGTGCAATTTTATAAATACACATAGTGAGCCAGTCTATAAAAAAATAAGTATTCCCATAAAGAGACGCTAAACATAGGTGGAGTATGAGAGAGAATGTAAGCGCGTTTTGTATTTCCTTTATCGTATGGGTATATAAGCTCTAACCATAAACAATATATATTTGGTTTTACAAAACCATAAAGAAAAAGTTTTATATGTTAAATCTACGAATTAAATTATGCATCAATTTATTAGTTACGTATTATTCACATAAATAGTGACTATACAATTATTATACTGTTATTATAAGCTATCGAGGAAGTTACCGAACACTTATATATTGTCTCTAAAAACTACTTTCCAAAAAGTCTTTACTTTCTTATTCTATTTCGAGATCTCTTTAACTTCCCCACAATATGTTTCCTCAAAAGTTTCGTAAAATATTCCTATAATGTTGCTCTACTAGTTGTAACCTACTTAGTTCTTTCTTCTTTTTAATAGTTTAATTTTATTAATGTTTAAATGGCCTTGAGCTAGCTTTTTGTTAAACTAAGAAATTTTCCACCATTATCATGTGATAGTATTCACAACTGTGTTCGTATTACTCGTGTTTTGGCTCCATCCCCCGATGGTCGTTGATATTGGTGTCAACATCCTATAATTTTAGGGTAATATAAAAAGGAGGAATTTTTCAGACACGAGGCGCGAGACACCCAGAGAGAACCCATGACTCAAAGCATCCATGTTGTGTTAGGCCGTAATTTACTTATGTTTCAATAGTACTAAGTATTTGATTTTTCATAGTGTAGGTTGTGCTAGTGAGATATTTTATCCAGTGATAAGTGTTTGTGATTTCCATAAAATTGTAAATTGGGTTTTAAATTATTGTATAATTGTTTTTGCATTGTATTTTAAAATTTAGACTTGTTTGCTTTTAGAAGTTTTTAGATTGATTAAAAGTTCTATAAGATTTCAAATCTACGAAGAGTTTGTTGTTGCTAGTAATCTTTTGAATTTTCGTATAATTATTCATCAGTCTGAAGCCATCACAAAAGAACCTGGGTGTTACCTAATATTTTATCAGTTGTAGAGTTACGTAACAAAAAGTAAAACTCAACACTTAACACACGACTTCATTAGGTCATCTCAGCAGTAAAATAATTGCATTCAAATATAAATTATGTACATTAGTGAATGTCAAACCAACTGAAAACACTATCTCGTGGTTTGCACAATACTCTCTGATGGCGATCGATAGCAAGCTGGAAATCTGCCAAGATGATAAAAAGCGTAATTGTATTTTTAGGCGTAATGAAAAAGGATCTAGTATAGATAATGCGCACATAGCTTTTCAGTGCGACGGAATAAAAAAAAACCAACAACCTCACTGTAATAAAAATTAAATTGTAATGTTGGCAATATGGGTGTTAACTAGTTTTGGGCATGTTATAAACAGAGTGAAATATTCTCAGGTGTTTGAAATTGAAAATGTATAACGTTTCCATAGAACATAATAACATCATAGTTATATAGTTGACCAAGCGGCCTTTTACACGTAGAAGTTTTATTGACTTTTCAAGTAAAGATCAATGATAGCTGGCATATACATTCTTAATGAAGCTCAAACGTCATATCAATATCAATTTGTAAAAATCGATACTGTTTATATAAAAGACACTGCCCAGTGAATAGTATAAAGTTGATGGAATCAGACATTCTAAAGTGTCTATCAGACTCATGGTATTGGTATATAATAATAATTATTATAACTATACTTTTCTGATATACAACAAAATATTGCATGATAAAACCTTTCTTTTAAAGTACAGCACATTAACGATGGCGGAAAAAGTGTCAATGATTTCTTCACTGGTTTGGCTGTTGTTCCACTACCTCACGACTACGTTGGGAGCTGATACATTATACAACGTTGCTCTTTACAAGCCAGCCTTTCTGTCCACAATGTACAAGGATTGGACTCCAGAAAAAGGAAACGATGGTGATACGACAGTTAATGAACTCGGTGGACAATGTACACAAACCAGTCCTCTAAACAACAGTTGGTGGATGGTGGACCTCTTGGATACTTACATCATCAAGGCAGTTGTTCTGACAAACAGGTGGGTTATACATATTTTACATCTATGTGTAAACAAAAAAGTGGCAATAAATTCGGTGTAGTGTCGTTTTTATTGTATTCGAGTCTTCCCTGTGTGTCTGTTGAATTGTCGTTAAGTGTGTGCTTGTGTGAACTTGTGTATTGGCTTACTGTACTGTGACTTGGTTTTGTAGCCGCTTGTTA